AAGCATTCCTGCATTTCATTCACCTTGTCCACCACTTTCGCACTTGCTGAATAATGCACTTTCAGTCCATTTGCGGTGCACTTTAGTGATCACTTGCAAGTAGTTTTTTTCCATTTCACACAGTAAAATCCAGTTGCGAAGTGCATTGAAAGTGCATATTCAGTGTGTGTGTGAAAGCACGGCAATGTATTTGAAAGAAATTTGGTACGGTACAAGTCTCCGAGTTACCTCTTGCTGCTGATACATTTCATGTTGTTTTGGTTCCAACTTAGAGCACCCAGTCTTTCTTCCTTATTTGTAAAATATCACATAACATTTCCTCATTGGGGTTCACTACAATTGCACCTTATGCAGTCTTAGGTGTTTTCTACATGAGAGGGAAAGAATGGAGCACTTAAAGTGTTGCTGCAGCTATACTGGGTTAAGAGTACAAGTCTCCAAGTTACCTCTTGCTGCTGATGCATTTCATGTTGTTTTGATTCCAACTTAGAGCACCCAGTCTCTCTTACATTATTTGTAAAATATCACAACATTTCCTCATTGGGGTTCACTACAATTCCACCTTATGCAGTCTTAGGTGTTTTCTACATGAGAGGGAAAGAATGGAGCACTTAAAGTGTTGCTGCAGCTATACTGGGTTAAGTTGTAAGTTAAATTAAAGTTTACAACTGGATTATCTGGCAACCTTCAAAGGTAACAGATTTACTTGAGTTTATTTAGATCAAAACTCAACTTTATTTTAAAATAAATAATGATGTGAATCTCATTGCATATTTTGTTAATGGAATTGTGCACACCGTCTTTTAAAATATATATGTATACCAATAAAGTGGATAAAAGCATAACAGACAAAGTGAATTGTAGCACATAGTGTATTTTCCCATTTAAAAAGCATCTTGGACCAAATGAGCAGAGAATTAAAGCACAATATTACACATCTATGAGGAAAGAGAACAAAGACCTCTTCCGCACTCTCATTTTTGTTGCTTATGCGTCCCTATTGCTTTGATGTTTTTTCCTCTTTTCTGCACATGTCTTGCTCCCTCTAATGGTTGATTCGATATTACATTGCTTTTTCCAGCATGCATCCCTGCAGTTTTAAAGCGCAGGGAAATATGCCAGACATACAGTGATGTAATATCGAATTGACCAGTAGAGGGAGCAAAACATACAGAAAATGGGAGGGGGGGAGAAGCAGTAGGGACCAGTGTTCCCTCTAAGCTGAGTTAGTGTGAGCTAGCTCACAGTTTTTTAGCCTCCGGCTCAGACATTTTTGTCTTAGCTCAGGAAGGAATGGCTCCAGAGCAAACTAATTTATGCAGCAGCCAAATTGCCCACTCACAACTTTAGTGGCAGTACCTCATAAAGTAGAATTTTTGCTCACAAGACTTCACAGCTTAGAGGGAACATTGGTAGGGACACACAAGCGATGAAAAAGAGAGTGCAGAAGAGACCAAAGAATCAGCAAGCGACACAATGTCTAGGAAAGGAAGTTCTTGGCGCCTGAAACCACATAAGCTTGATAGCAGGTAAACTGATGTGGGGGGGGGCATTGCAGAGATGAGGGGTCACCAAAGTGAGAACCCCGATCTGGTCAACACCCCCTTACTCCTGAAGGTGAGACAAACAGAATTAGAAGATCTCATCCAGTTCTTTCCTAATTTACACGTGCCAGGATCAATACTCCCTCTAAGCTGTAGAGTCTTGTGAGCAAAAATCCTACTTTGTGAGCTGCTGGCATTAAAGCTGTGAGTGAGCGCTTTGGCTACTGCATGAATCAGTTTGCTCTGGAGACATCCTCCCTGTGCTAAGACAAAAACGCGCGAGCCGGAGGCTAAAAAACTGTGAGCTAGCTCACGCTAACTCAGTTTAGAAGGAACAGTGGCCAGGACGCCCTTATGTGTTGAGGCTTCTTGACTCAGCTGACAGCAAAACAGAAGGCGCTCTCTCTGGAATGTTCTATCGATGGTTTCTCTTCTCCTGATTGGGCACTGTGTAACATGTGTTTTTTCCCCCTCTGCAGCTCCCTGGCGTCCTGTTTACAGCATGATTCTCCAGTATTTGTCCCAGACTGCCAGTTCTCCTCAGACCCAAGCGATCCTTCAGTCTCAGATAGAGAACCTGCTTAGCAAAGTGTATGCCAGGTGGAGGGGCAGGATGCGTCCCAGCTCGGAAGAGGACGGCCCTTCCGTGGAGGAGATTCCTTGGGATAGTATTTTGGCACTCTGCATTAACCACAGACTGAGGGACTGGAAGCCTCCTCGCTTGCCAGTAGCACCGGGTAATCAATACAGCTGTGATTGGCCTTGCTCTTGTTTTCCTTCTGCAGCTGAAATAAGGATCAAGAATTTGTGCGTGTGGCTTATTCCTCCCGAAGGTTGTTTTAAGTGGTTTTGTATGCAATGCACACCTTTTGGAGAACTCGGGTAGCTTTTGAAATGCAGGTTTCCTTATTTCTTATAAGGAAGAGCCAGTTTGGTGTCGTGGTCAATTGCGCGGACTCTAATCCGGGAGAACCGGGTTTGATTCCCCCACTCCTCCACTTGCACCTGGCTGGATGACCTTGGGCAAGCTGTAGTTCTGATAAGAGCTGTTCTTGAAAAAAGAGCAGTTGCTGTCAAGAGCTCTCTCAGCCCCACCTACTTCACAGGGTGCCTGTTGTGGGGAGGGGAAGGGAAAGGAGCTTGTAAGCTGCTCTGAGACACCTTTGGGTAGTGAAGGGCGGGGTATAAATCCAATCTCTTCTTCTTCTTCTTTTACCTCACAGGGAGTCTGTTGTGGGGAGGGGAAGGGAAAGGAGCTTGTAAGCTGCTCTGAGACACCTTTGGGTAGTGAAGGGCGGGGTATAAATCCAATCTCTTCTTCTTCTTCTTTTACCTCACAGGGAGTCTGTTGTGGGGAGGGGAAGGGAAAGGAGCTTGTAAGCTGCTCTGAGACACCTTTGGGTAGTGAAGGGCGGGGTATAAATCCAATCTCTTCTTCTTCTTCTTTTACCTCACAGGGAGTCTGTTGTGGGGAGGGGAAGGGAAAGGAGCTTGTAAGCTGCTCTGAGACACCTTTGGGTAGTGAAGGGCGGGGTATAAATCCAATCTCTTCTTCTTCTTCTTTTACCTCACAGGGAGTCTGTTGTGGGGAGGGGAAGGGAAAGGAGCTTGTAAGCTGCTCTGAGACACCTTTGGGTAGTGAAGGGCGGGGTATAAATCCAATCTCTTCTTCTTCTTCTTTTACCTCACAGGGAGTCTGTTGTGGGGAGGGGAAGGGAAAGGAGCTTGTAAGCTGCTCTGAGACACCTTTGGGTAGTGAAGGGCGGGGTATAAATCCAATCTCTTCTTCTTCTTCTTTTACCTCACAGGGAGTCTGTTGTGGGGAGGGGAAGGGAAAGGAGCTTGTAAGCTGCTCTGAGACACCTTTGGGTAGTGAAGGGCGGGGTATCAATCCAATCTCCCCTCTCCTTATTGGTTGGGGGGGGATTCATCTGCACGAGCTGTAGTGACATTCTTAAAGAAAAGGACAATTTTGCATCGCTCTGTTGAAGTCTCAAGAATTAGGAATGTCTCCCCCCCTCCCCCCCGGTGGTAACTATATCTCCAAGAGTGCATTCCTATGTGGAGTTGTTCCAGTCCAAGTCCGGTTAAGTAAATGGACTTAGAGTAATTGTGCATAGGACAGGCCTACAAGTTTCTTGACCGCTTTGGCAAACAACATAGCCCTGTGGGTTACAAATGGATGCTCCAGGCTAGCCTGATCTTGTCGAGTCTTGGAAGCTAAGCAGGGTCGGCCCTGGTTAGTATTTGGATGGGAGACCACCAGGGCAGTCCAGGGCCTCTACACAGAGATAGGCGTGGGGGTTCTGTGTATGAGGCTAGGTCAGCATATGCAGTTCAGCGGGGTACCGAAATCAGGCATCCCACTGCTGGAGTGTCAAACAAAATTCCATGTAAATCAAAGATTCAGCATAGAGAGAGGATCTAAACACCTCTTCAGCAGCACTGAATTTGAAAAGAACTTTTAACAGAGAACAGAGGGTTTTCTGGTGAACTCAAAAGCTTCACAATATTTTTGTCTCACAACTCGGACTTGCCAACCCATCCCCCTCACTCCAGATACACCAGGGCTGGCTAAGGTTTGATGGCACTGTGCTCTGAAGTACTCTAGGAATTAAACTGGTAATATATTATTGTCCGTGTCTGTTTGTGGTAGTGCACAGGCTTGGATGGGAGACCAGCCACGGAGTCCAGGGTTGCTATACGGAGACAGGCCATGGTGTACCAGTACAGTGGTTTATTGTATTTAGCCATTGGCTATTACAAAATACAGAATCCAGTGGAACATAAAACGTTAAAAAGCACCATTAATATCCAAGTTAAAACCAACTACTAATCAATAATAATAAAAAGAATACAACAGGTTTAATCATCATCAGGTAGCCTGCCCCTTAGATCTAATCTTAGATGCTGCTAAAGCAAACAGGGAAACTCTATGAGATAGATGAGCATCATTATCTGAAAGCAAGAACACAGTCTTCTCAGTTTCTGGGTATGCTTGCATGACCAGTAGAATTCTTGCTAAAAATTTCTCTCTTGAAGTGCTGTAGAGTGGACAGCAAAGTATGTATCCATGGCAAATGATCCCTGATCGTCTCTTGCCTTGAAAACCCTACGGGGTCACCATAAGTCAGCTGTGACCGGATGGCTCTTTCCAACCCCACCATAGGTTACAAAGCACCTTATTGAGTAAGGAGAGAGAAATTATCCAAGCCTCTGTGAAACCGGTAACCACCTAAATACGTGAACATATCGTTTGGCGGCGAAATTCAGTAAAAGATCGCATTTGAAGCAGGGTTGGTGATTTCTGACCAGGCCTCTCATCCTGCCGGAGCGCTCTGGAGCCCCGCTCCAGGAGTGACCAGGCCAGGGGGCGGAGCGGTCACATGACCAAGCCCCGCCCCCTGCTCCCAGCAGGCCTCAGTCAGCGGAGAGATACCAGAAAAGGAACCACTGAGCGCGCCGGGCACCGGGCTCCGGGGAAGAAGTAAGGTGGGAACTCCTGCCGGCCAGGGAGTGAGAGGTGAGCAACCCTCCTGGCCCTCGAGCTAAACGCGGGCAATTAGAGGGCAAGGGTGGCCCCGAGGCCAAGCGCTTGAGTGGGGCCCTTGAGTTCTAATTGCGGTGGTGGCCCCAGAAGCCCGCCCAGCGCTCGTGCCGGGCGCAATTTGAATGACTCATGTTGCAACATGCGCGGTGCAATTAGAGCTCGCCAGCCACTTCCCGCGCCTGGCGAGAGGGTTGGGCCGGGGCCAGTTCGGGCTCAGCTTTGTTCTGCAAAGTTCGTCAGTGGCGCTCGAGCTGGGCACTGGGTGCGGGCCTGGCCTCTCAGGCACCCTCCCCCCTTGCCTGGCGCAGGGGCGATTGGGTTTAATGACCCCCCCAATTACGTTCAGCTGGCTGGCTGTCAGGCCTCTCCTCCTGACAGGCGGGGATTCCTGCCAGCCTCTTCCCCTTCAGTCCGGGCGTGCGTTCTCTTCCCCTCACACACTCACCGCCCCCCCCATCATAATCCTCCACTTAAGCAGACGTGGCTCGAGAGCTTAAGTGGCAATTTGCACCTCCACAGCCAGGCGCGGGAAGTGGCTGGCAAGCCCCCCGCCAGCGGCGCCGGGGAGGGGATATTTAAAGAGATCTGCCCTGGCGCCCCTCAGCCTTCCCCCAGAGACAGTTGGAGAGAGCGCCTGTTCCCGTAGCTTTAGCTTTTTGTCCACATTTGGCTGCAGTTTGAAAAAGAAAAAAAAGAAGGCTCCCCACGCAGTAGTGGCAGTGAAGGGAGAAGAGTTTGGTAGCATCCTTCCCCCTTCCTGACACCCTTCTGGTGAAAGGAAGGAAGTGCCAACTTATTTCAGGGGGTTCCTCGGAGGCCTCCCTTTCCTCCCCCACCATCGTTTTGCAGACTGGAATGCGTGCGGACCTGTCACGCCTCGTACTGGGGCTTTTGAGTTTGGAGAGGGGACAGTGAAAAGAACGTACAGGCATGATGGGAGAGGTTGATAGATTGTGCAAGGGGGTGAGAACTTTTTCTCCTCCTCCCAGGGGAGGCGTGTGTATTTCT